TGGGTTGGGTTGAGTTGGTGTTGGTTTAGTGTTGGATTGGGGTTGGGTTGGGGTTACTGTTGAGTATTTATTTCTCCATTGATCTTAGCATTGATTGATTGATTGACTGATTGATTGGTTGGTTGATTGATTGATTAATTGATTGATCGATTGATCGATTGATTATTTTCAGGGATTCCAGAGGGCCCTGAGTGTGGATGGGAACAGGACAGGAAATCCAAAGATTTGAGAATGGAATTTATCCATTTCTCTTGCTCAATTCAACCCCAAATTTGCCAAATCTCTGTACAATTTCCAAGCCAAATTCCCAATTTTCTTTAACTTAGGAAATTCCCAATTTTCCAACATCAAAGGCAACAGAAAGGAATGAGGGAGGAAAAATCTCCCCCGAACAAACCCGAAATAAATTCATTTTTCAATATTTTTACTTTCAAACTACTTTTTCTCTCTACATCATCATCTCCTTGAAGCATTTAAAAATCTTTGAAACCACCTCAATTTTCCCTTCTTAGGTTAAAATTTGGGATGTGGCTTTTCCTGGACAAACCCAAAAAATTTTCAGGAGCTTGATCCAAACTTTTTTGAGGAGGATCTCCACGTTGAGCATCTCCCATGGATCAACCAGCGGAGCAGGAAGAGACATCTCCAACCAATTCCAGTTGTCTCCAGCTCCCAGGAGAGGTTGGTGGTGTCGAGAACGTTCCAACTGGTGACCAGGAGAGCTCAGCTCTGGGTGAGGAAGATGCCAAGGAGGTGGATGTGCCACCCAACCCCGACGTGGAGGGCACAAAATGCATCCCACATCCTCCTAGTGATGGGAAACCACTGGAAGATGCTCAAGACCAGCAGGAGGTGAAGGTTGGAGGTTCTTCCCCAGGTGGAAAAGTTGATCCTCCTCAGATGCAACCGTCGGATTTTTACTGCGTCAAGTGGATCGACTGGAAAGGGGAGAGGACTCCAGTCATCATGCAGAGTGAGAATGGACCTTGTCCTCTCTTGGCCATCATGAACATCCTCTTCCTGCAGTGGAAGGCAAGTTGGGAGCACGGGGTGGGATTTTGGGGGGGTCCCATTCCCTGAATCCCAAGGAAAATACTCCTCAACCTCTCGCTGCTTCCAGGTGAAGCTTCCCCCGCAGAAGGAGGTGGTCACAGCTGAGGAACTGATGGCACATTTGGGTGAGCAGTGGTGGGAGAGCTCCCCAGAGACCCCCAAAATCCCTGGGGGGTGGGACAATGCTGGAGGTGACACCTCTCCCTTGCAGGAGATTCCATTTTGGCCACCCAACCCCGAGAACCATCCGAGGGACTCCAACTCAACTTCCAACAGGTGAGGAACAACCCCACGTGTCATCGTCCTCCAAAATTTGGCCTCTTGAGGAGCTTAGCAAGACTTGAGTTGGCAAACCCTTCTTGGTTTCTTCTCCATCCCAGAACATCAATGACACCATGACGGTTCTCCCGAAGCTCTCGACGGGGTTGGACGTCAACGTGAGGTTCACTGGTGTCTCAGATTTTGAGTACACCCCGGAGTGCATCGTCTTTGACCTCCTCAATGTCCCACTCTACCATGGTTGGCTCGTGGACCCTCAGGTGAGGATCTCCACCTCTTCTCTGGAGCTAAAAAATGAGCCAAGGGTTGGAGAATCTCTGCTGGGAGGTATTGGGGTTCATCTTGGACAAGATGACCAAGTTGGGGATAGTTTTTCCAGCCCTGGAATTCTTCAAGGTTTGGTTGGACCTACCATGGTTGGCTCGTGGACCCTCAGGTGAGGATCTCCACCTCTTCTCTGGAGCTAAAAAATGAGCCAAGGGTTGGAGAATCTCTGCTGGGAGGTGTTGGGGTTCATCCTGGACAGGGTGACCAAGTTGGTGTTGGTTTTTCCAACCCTGGAAGTGCTCAAGGTTTGGTTGGACCTACCATGGTTGGCTCGTGGACCCTCAGGTGAGGATCTGCACCTCTTCTCTGGGGCTAAAAAATGACCCAAGGGTTGGAGAATCTCTGCTGGGAGGTATTGGGGTTCATCCTCGACAAGGTGACCAAGTTGAGGTTGGTTTTTCCATGCCTGGAAGTGCTCAAGGTGAGGTTGGATGGGGCTTGGAGCAACCTGGACTAGAAGAAGGTGTCTCTGCCCACGGTGTGATAGATGAGCCTAGAAAATCCTTCCTCCACCTCAACCCTCCTGGGATGGTTTTTGATGGCCCTTTGAGCCTGAGCCAATGATGGTTCATCCTTGGCAGGAGGTTGGACCAGGTGAACATCCCAAACCTTTTTGTGTTGGGTCCATCCTTGTGGTGGAATCTCTTCGGAATTTCCCCCATGATGGAACAGTGATCCAAAGAGTTAGAGAAGGTTCAAACTAAACCAACTCTGGTTCTGCTCATCCCTTTCCTTCCCCTCCCTGCAGAATTTAGAGGTGCTCCAAGCCGTGGGCAAGCTCAGCTACAACCAACTGGTGGAGAAGATCATCACCTGCAAACAGGCTAACGACTCCAGCCTGGTGAGCGAAGGTAACGACCTCCACCACCCTTGGCTGACTCTTGGAGGGCCTTGAGAAGAGTTTGACCCTTCCAAGTGTTTCTCCCACCCTCCTGTCCCCTCAGGACTGGTGGCTGAGCAGTTCTTGGAGTCCACCGCGTCCCAGTTGACCTACCATGGGCTGTGTGAGCTCACGGCCACCGTCCGGGAGGGAGAGCTCAGCGTCTTCTTCCGCAACAACCACTTCAGCACCATGACCAAGCACAAGGTACAGCTCCAAACCTTCTGACTTTCTCCTCCAAATGCCACCTGAGACTCATTGTCCCCTTGTCCTGACTCCTCAGGGTCACCTCTACCTGCTGGTGACAGACCAAGGTTTCCTGCAGGAGGAAGGAGTGGTCTGGGAGAGCCTCCACAACGTGGACGGAGACAGTTGTTTTTGTGACACGAATTTCCACCTCAGCCACACTTTGGCCAAGGAAGGAGCCACTGCAGCCACCCCAGACCACCAGGTGCAGAGACAAGTGGACCAGGTGAGGGACAAAGTGACATGGAAGGACATCAAAGTCTCATCCCAACTCCGTAGGGAGATGCTGAAGGGTTTGAGCTTCGGATTTTGGGAGTTTCTACTGTGCTGACCATTCTCTCCTCTTTTTTTTTTTTTTTTCTTCTCAACCCTCTCCAGGATTACATGGTGGCTCTGTCCTTGCAGCAGGGACAGGGACAGGGACAGGGACAGGATCCATCCTTTGTGCTCAGTGACCTGGAGTTGGCTCGGCAGCTGCAGCAGGAGGAGTATCAACAGCAGCATCATCCTCATCCTCATCCTCATCCTCATCCTCATCCTCATCCTCATCCTCATCCTCATCCTCATCCTCATCCTCATCCTCATCCTCATCCTCATCCTCATCCTCATCCTCATCCTCATCCTCATCCTCATCCTCATCCTCATCCTCATCCTCATCCTCATCCTCATCCTCATCCTCATCCTCAGCAGGTCCCAGCACAGGTAACCAGGTCTCCCCCTCTCCCCACCCTTTTTTTTGGGGTGGCCCTGGTGGTCTCTGAGGGTCCCATGTCCCACCTTGTTGTCCCACAGGTTGGTGCTCGAGCAGCTGGAGAAAGGAGACAGAGGCAGAAACCAGATTTGGATTGTGTCCTACTCTAACCTCCTCTCTGTGGGGTCTGG